TGGTAAGGAGCCACAAACAATGAAGGCGAATATATTATTGATTGATTTGTTAAAAATGTTGATGAATAATAGGATTAAAATAAATAGAAAAAAAACAAATTTATCAGACAATCGACTATTTTGGTTAAATCATTGCTTATATTATGGATATATTAGCTAAATTCAAATACAAAGGTTTTGGTATGTGTATAAATTTAAAAAATACTTTCAAACCAACTTTATCACTGATTAACTTTTATCAAATAATGCCATTCTGAACTCAAGAGATTACGCATTTTTTCAAAGCTCGAAAAAAACAAATATTGCTTAGTAACCTGCTTCACACACCTCCTCAGTCTTTTGAACAGGAGTAGAGATTTGTCCCTTGATTCCTGTTTAGGATTGGGTTTCTGGTTCCTTCTCATATCTACATCAGCTCTACACTCCTAACGCTTGTCCCTTCCTATACTAATATAATTCCAGATGGTAACCCTCTACCTGGAGTGGCTTGTATTCAGTGAACATTGGTATAAAAATAAAAAAAAAATATAATAATTTGCAATTATTATTCATTTTCTTTCACTCATTATATGTATTACAATTATTATTATATTTATCCCTTAAGCTGTCAATAATATTGTTTATTGGTAACCTATTTTTTTTTATAAATACCGCTTTAATATATACATCTATATTTCCTTTGTGCAAATGACAAATGTTGTCATTCATGTTACGTCTGACAAAGCGATGACTATCTTTCAGAATTGCTTATGTTGTGAGCTTTGTAGCATTGATTTGATATTGCCATGCAATAAAGTTTTTAATAAATAATCTTTTTTTTTTTTATGAGAAATAACAAATTTAACATGTATCAATTCAGATGACACAGCTTTTTATAACCTGGAAGTCAAATTGAAGTTGTTTTGACTCATTTATACTTTTTGCTATATTCTGGGTGATTATTTGTGTATAATAATAATAAGAAAGGAAGAGAATTTTATGAGGAATGAAAAACTTATTTTGTAACTCAGTCTCCAATGGTTGCACTTACTGGGTTTAATATTCCCTTTGTACATCATACAAACCCATTTAGGCCCTTTGAAATTGGTCAGTTGATGAAAGAGGTGATGTATTTTTGTTTTTTTTCTTTTCGTAGGGTGTAGGGTGTTATCCAATGAATGTGGGTCGAAACTTAATTAAAATCTGAGAATTTTAAGGGCTGAGTCACAACAGCATATATAAGGCAGTAGAGGAAAGTTTGCAGACTATATCGGATGTGATTGTACCATTCAATAGAAACGCATATGCAACAACTAGTAATGATTAGTGTCAAGTGTATCCACAGACAAATTGAAGTGTTTCAACTTATGCTTTTGCTATTATTTCAGGCAAATGTAAACAAATGAAATTGACAAAGAAGGATCATATTCATCTTGATCACTTTTCGTTTCATACAAATACAAATACAAATACAAATACAAATACAGTCTATCACATTTACATGTAATATACATCTTAGATATGTATTATTTATAGATATGATGGAAAACCTCCTGAAAAGTGGACTGAACAATTACAGAAAGGTTAATCTATGAAAATCTGGAGTTGAGCTGCTGAACATAACATCAATCAGCTTAGTGACAAATTTTATTAATAGTAATCCTATATATGTATGTATGTATGTATATGTCTACCATTCATCCACGCATTGAATATTGATGCTACATCTAGTCTGTTTCTGCTATGTATTTAGAGATTTTTGAAGAAATACAAATAATCTGCAATGTTATTGGTCTTGACCTGGCATCTCAGCTTCACTCACTCACCCACCATTGTAATGTAGCTACCCTCATTTTTTTTATATATATATATATATATATATATATATATATATATATATATATATATATATATATATTTTCATGGTAATTGATGAACTTTGGTACGTAGACTTTTTATGAATTTAAGCACAGCACTAGATTTAGTGACACGGTTTCATCATTTTACAGTTGAAATGGCTAGACGTAACCATTAAGTTCTATGCTAACAGTTTCTTCTCTCGCACTTCTTGCTTGTGGAACTCTCATCATGCTTTCCAGTCAACTATGATCTACAAAAATTTAAATGCAATGTCAATCATTATCTTATTTCCCATTCTTTTATTGTTCTCTTTCTTTAATAATGTTTTCTTTTACTCATATTCTCTCACACTGAGTAACCCTTTGCATCTTAGTGGCTTTATTGCCTTGCTAGAGTGAAATGATTAAAATAAAATGTATGTATGTGTGTGTATACCTGCATACAGACTGATTCAAGTCTTCTAATTGGACTTTATTTGAAATATTTGCTCAGAAGCTTTAAAAAATATTTATGATTTGCTTGTGTTTTTCAGGTTACTTCAAAGATATGATACTTGTATAGTGTATATGTAGATCAGACATATTCTGTTCTTATCACATATCCCATCAACATGACCAGTGTGACATTTGATAAGACAACAAAAAGTCCTTCCACATGAGTAAATGTATTTATTTTAGACTAAATTTACTTATGATGATTTGAAATCCATGTTCAGGATTTTTCTAGCACATTACATTTTTTTTTAAATCATTTCATCCCAAACAAGGCAATAAAGGCACTAAGATGCAAGGGGGTTACTCAGTGTGAAAGAATATCAGAAAAAGAAAACATTATTAAGGAAAGAGAAGAATAAAAAAACAGGAATTAAGAACAGAAGATAACAGAGTTGATTTGAACGCAAAGAAAATGGAAAAGAGTTCCACAAGTCAGAAGTGTGAAAGAAGAAACAGTTAGCATAGAACTTATGGTTATATCTAGTTATTTCAGCTGTAAAATGATGAGACCTAGCTGCCAATCTAGTACTGCACTTAAATTCATAAATCTGAGGTACTAAAGAGGAAAGCTCAACAAGGATTCCTTGAAAATATTTATAGAAAAGGCACAGAGAATCTACATTACAGAAGTAGGGAAGTGACTGAAGTTGAGATGCCAGGTCAGGACCAATAATATTGCAGTTTCTTCTTTGAATTTTATCAAGAGTCTCTAAATACAAAAGTACCAAACCAGATGTGACAGCAATATTCAATACATGAATAAATGGTAGACATTATTAAGATATATGCATTGCATATTTACATGCAAGTATCATATATCATATTAATATGGTATGCTAATATGGCCTCTAGCTGGTGTTATAGAATTCATTTGTATTGTACAAACTTTTAAGTCTATATTGATTTAATGAACAATACTTTAATTGCATATCAAAGAATCGGATTCCAGATGTATCAAAATGCACATCTCACATTGCCATCTCAATTTCTTTCCAACAGAGCAATCGATGAGCATGGCGAGAGACCATCAGAATATACCAAAGATGGAATCAAGGTACCAAGTAGATGGCTAACTACTTCTGGTTACTATAACAAGAGTCTATCTCAACCAAGTACAACAGTAAATATAAACATTTCTGTAAATGGTAATTCTTCCGACAAGCTTTCCTTTTTGGGACCTCAACTTTACAAATTTAAGTGCAGTACTAGATTGGCAGCTAGGTCTCACTAGAGACTTAGCTGCCAATCAATAGATGTAACCATAAATTCTTTTGTATATATTTCTTCTTTCACACTTCTTGCTTTCCTCTCAACCATAATCTTCAAAAATTTAAATACAACATCAATCATCATCTTGTCTCCTTGAATCATGTTCTCTGTATTTCTCAGTAACATTATCTCAGTTTCCTTCACACTCAATACTCTCCTCGCATCTTAGTGGCTTTATCACCTTGCCTGGAGTGAAATTATTTAAAAAAAAAAAAAAAAAAAAAAAAAGACAAACAAATATCTGGTATTTATTCAGCTATTTGTTACTGTCATTAAAATCATTTTGAATATGCGCCATGTCCTTTCAGAACCATGACTTCTCACAATTTCCTTTGTAGTTCTTAGCAATGTTTGTCTTTTTACTCTTCCTTCCCAATTGAGGTAGGTTACTTGCTGTTTTCCCTCTTCTCTTTAATATCCCTGTGAGTGTCAGATTCTCCAAACTCTCTTTCTTCATTATATGTCTCAGAAATTCCAACTGTCTCGTTCTTATTTCCTTTTTTGTTTACGTTCTCCTTAAAACTTCCTCATTACTCACATGCTCCATCCATGGTATGTTTCACATTCTTCTGTGGAATCACATCTCTGTTGCCTCAAGTTCATCTGCGAGGGAAATGATTTAGCATTCATTGCCATATAAGAGGATTGATATTACATAGAAGTTCAGCATTCTTTTCTTGGTTTCTAACAAATTTTTTCAGTTTTGCTTATACTTTGTTTAGCTTTTGGAAGGCATCTTTTATTATCCCAATGCACCTTCAAATTTCAGCATCAATACTAATATTTACTTGAATATAAATATCCTATCTACAGTACAAGTCTACTATTAATGTTTGCCTTGAATGTAAATATGTGATGCATACATCTGGAAAAAAAAACCCAAAAAAAACTAATGTCTTAGGACAATTCCAAGTACAGATCCAGAATTAGAGTTGTCTATTTAGTTAAGTCCAACAGAGTTTGTCCAGGTCCAGGGTAGCAGATAAAAAGAAGAGAAAAAAGAAAAGGTTTTTTTTTGTTGCCAAGTGCATGAAATCAAAAGATCAGATTCTTGTGTGCATTGGCCTCCTCAATTTTTCTGCACGACTGGGAATCTTGGACATTAACAACACAATTACAGCAAAGAATCCAAGCATTAGAATTAGCTACAGAGCCGTCCGAGGCATCTCCTACACAGTGTGCATCACAAATGACACAGTGCAAGACACTATCAGACAAGAAACAAATCCAATAGAAGATCACATAGCCACAGTCGAGAAGAGACAGTTGAAATGGCATGTCCATGGTATAAGAGCCAACAATCTTTTCATTGTCGTACTACAAGGTACCACCTTTAGCAAAAGAAGACAAGGCAGATAAAAGGAAAAAAAATACTTTGACAATGTTACTGAGTGAAGATCATTGAGAGAGAGAGAGAGAGAGAGAGAGAGAGAGAGAGAGTGAAACATTGACACACAACTGAGATGTATAGGAAGAAATGGTCAGGTGCTCAGCCAAGCAGTGACCCTAAGACCACACCTGGTCAGGGGACTGATAATGATGTAATCTGGTTTGATCCTGGAACCATGATAGATCATAGGATAGGAATTGTGTAAAAAAATGTGCAAATTTTTTGTTATACACTTAAAATAAAAAGAATCTTAAGTACATACTTTACACACATTGGAATCATACAGTCATTAAAAATAATGTCCAAAAACAAGAGACAAACAGTAAAAAAAAAAAAAAAAAAATAAAAAATAAAAAATAAAATTCAAAACAAACCTTGTCGTTGGTCATTAAGCAATCTTGCTTAAATGATAGACTGTTGCAAAAATATGTATTATATATATATAAGCACACATTATATATATATATATATATATATAAAATGTGTGTGTGCACACATGCATGCAATTATAAATCCATACACATAACACACACACATATATATATATATATATATATATATATATGACAATCTGGAAAAATTTTGACAGGTTTTGCCTATAATCAGTGAAATGTATCAAAATGAATTTTCCAGATTGTTATACATTTACCATACCATTGAAAGAATACTTATTTTATCATACCATTAAATTTACCATACCATTGAACTCTCATCAAAACTTTTTCACACACACAGATTTTTTATGTCTATCTAGTCATCAGATGAGCATCATTGTCAACAAAAAAGCACTGACCCAATGCTGAATCTGGTGTCGACCGTGGGATCGACATTGAGACCAGTAAGGGACTTACATTTCTTGCTGCATACACAACACACAAGCTGTCTGATTTCTTTGATGTCTTGGCTGTACATGTGGCCAGTTTTTGTGTGTCCTAAAAAGTCTAAGACCTAAGTGGCTTTTAGACTCTTTGCCAAACTACCACCTGTAAAAGGTTCTATATCGATGAAATTGTTTTATTCTGTTGGTGAGACATCAACATGGCTTTGCAGATGGTTACAAAGGCCTGCATTTCATAGGCATGATTTATTAAACAAATATGTGGGATTTATTGGGTAAATTTAATTAAATGTTTCCATGAAAAGACTTGACCAAATTCACAAAATGTTGAGGACAGAGTGATTTCTTATTGACCATATTCAAAGGCAATTGTGAGATCAACAAAGAACCAGTGGAAACTTGTTGCAACTCAATGCACTTTTCTTTCGGATTTGGCATGTTGTAATGATCATGTCTGTGATACCACTATTTTTCACACCTACACATTACATATGTTGAAAAGTTTGGATAAGAATTATATATAAGTGGATACTGCAGTCAACTTAAAGCGGCCTGGGGTGCCTTTGGAAATAATATATAAATTACAACACAAAATTTTATGAACAAAATTGGGTTGATGAAACATCTGACAATGGAATATATAGCTTGGAGTCACAAGTCATATATATAGAGTTTGAGTGTACTTCATTTTTATCAAACTATTAACTAAGCATAGTTGCAGTATAAATATATCATATATAGGAGTATATAATATGGGATTGTATAGCCATATAGCATATAGGCATACTCAACACAAACAGTCAGTCATCATTTTTTTATATATATATTTATATATATATATATATATATATATATATATATATAATATATGGACTCTCCCATTGGTTTTGACGTATGAGGATCTGACAGCTTATTGATTCAGTTATGAAATTTTTTGTGCGATAATCTTAAGTGGCATTTAAGACCCGATAGTGATTTACAAAGGAGGCCACATATGGAGCAAGAGTAAGGATTGTGAGAGGAGATCACTGTTAGATTGGCTGACCATATAGTTCTTGCTCTCGCTTCTTGAAGATGATTCTGACAAGCAGTTGGAAACTGCTGAGTCCACTAAAACATGTTGATCTCCATTCTACATGCTCCAAGGCTAAGCGCTTAAGGGTGTTATGTGGTATATTGACTGCTGACAAATTGCTTTTCAGCTTGTCTTTGTATCTTAGCCATGGGCGTCCTACATTCCTGTAGCCCTGATCTAACTGGCTGTACATTAGGATCTTGGGTATCCTGTCATCAGACATTCTCAAGACATGACCAGTCCACCGTAACTGAGACTGTATGAGAAAAGTCTCGATTCCTCCAATATTACACCTGTTAAACAGGTCTACGTTAGATGTCCTATCTTGAACGTTAACTCCACAGATTGCACGCAGACAGCTTTTATAGAAAACATCCAGCTGGCGTATATGGTACCTGTATGGAGTCAACGACTAAGCCGTACAAAAGGATGGCAAGTACAACAGCTCTGTAAACCCGAATTTTCATATCCAGTCGAATACCCCGCTCATTCCATGAGCGATGACGAAGTTTGCTGAAACCACTGGTAGCTTTAGCAATCCAATGCATGATTTCATCATCTAAAGTTCCACTGTAATTGACTTTGCTACTAATATAGGTGAAAGACTTTACATAGTTCAGGGCTTTGTCTTCTACTTTCAATGGTCTCTCTGGAAATTTGTAGACTGGTGGTTTTTGTTTCTCACCACAGAATTGCTTTGGAGTAGAAGGTTGGCGCACTACTTCAGTTTTCCTTATGCTAAGTGTAAGACCAAAGGCTTTACGTGCAGCAGAGAAACGATTTATTAGATGATGGGCCTCCTCAAAGGATATCACTACAAGAGCAGCAGCATCAGCAAACAAGAAATCACAAATAATTTGCGTACAAAGGTGGGTCTTAGCTTTGAAGCGCTGATGATTGAAGAGACCACCAGTTGTTGGAAACTGAAACTTAACACCACTCTCTGTCTGCAAATGCATATTTCAGCATCACCGAGAAGAAAAGGGCAAAAAGGACGGGGGCCATCACACACACACACACACATATATATATATATATATGAAACAGTCAAATCACTGAAGTTCCAAGTTAAGCAGAATTGATCCTTGTCAGTACTCTGATGGGGGACTGCTTGTAAACACATACCATTAGCAAATTCATGACTGCTCATATCATATGCGGCACTGGCATTCTCTAATTAACTTGACTGATTTCTTATCATTGAATCAAGTGTGCATGATGCTAACACAGGTACCATTATTTTTTTGAAGAGACAAAAAGACTCAACCTATACCACAGACTGTTTGATGGACATCCTCATGCTGCAAGTCATGCTGCAGCTATATATATATATATATATATATATATATATATATATATATATATATATATAGCCTGCAGGTTTCATGGAGCTTTTTGAGACCACCTAGTTTTGGCTGCAAAGGGTTTTAAAAATAATAAATATTTGGTAGAAATTTGGATAGAATAAATTTGGCCTGACTTTATTCCACCAATGTGAAATATTGGTGGAATAAAGTCAGGTTAAATAGTATTGTATCTAATTCATCCTTCTAACTTTTCGCACCCCCACCCAGTCACTCTATATCTGTTTTTATCTCATTTATATTCAGTAACAAACTCTAAAAATTCACCCTTGCAGTCTGCAACTAATTTTCTTCAATTAATATGGTACTTCAGTTTTTAATTGGGCAGGCTATATAAGTAATAAACAAAATATATGTAGGAGGCAACAGATATTTGAGAACATACCTGTAGTGGTCCCTAAATAGAAATATGTGACAAATTATAACAATCTTTTTTTGGACCTACAGAAGGCATTAGCTTCCAATCTGACACAGAAAAAAGAAAAAAAAAGGCATGTCATGTTTGGGACACTAGCCAACAACCACAGCAATTGCTAGATAGTCAGAGGAAATATCAGGTGCCTCAGACAATTTGCATCAGCTGTAATAGTCCTGAGAGCCACGAACAACAATGATTATATCATGCTATCCTCTCCCCCGTAAGGGTTCAAGAATAAATATCACTGCTTATATTGAGGTGCTAAAGATGATGACCAAGGAGGTGGCAGGATTATTCTCAATACCATTTGGTCAAAATAACACAGGTGTTGTTGATCAAGAATATTCACAATCATGGCATCCCATAATGTTACCTCGTTGCCCGCCCAATTTAAATAGCTTGGATGACTACATATGGAGCACCATCAAAAGAGAAAGACCAATCAGCATATCCCATAATGCCAAACACTCCAATGTCAGGGATTTAATGGTGAACAGGAACAAGTACCCTCTGAACTTGGTATGCAGATGCTTCTGAGGACATGTCAAGGCTATCCTTTTTTCTTCAACTGATTATCTTAATTTTGTTTTCAATTATCTGGCCCACCATATATAAAATTTTGTCACTTAGCTGATTGGGAATTTTTTTTTTATATATCAAGAACAATTTTAGGGAAAAAAAACTATGACAAAATGGAAAATGTTTTGTGGGTGACATGTTTTGTCCTTTAAGACTTCATCAGAGGACAGCAATGTTTACGTTGTTGTGACTACACATGTATACATATGTAGCGTCCCCTTTCAAAGGAAAGGGGACGCTACATACTAAAAATAAAAAATAAATATATTTTGCAGATATATACTCTAATCAATTTCATTTAGTTTCTTTTTCTTTTTGTCCATGTTTTCTTCATTTTCCTTATTAAATATTCCCCATTGTGATAACAGAAAATCTGCCAAAAAAGGTGAAATGTTGTAAGAAACTGAACATAAATTTACTGTGGATGATCTAAAGATTAAAGCACTTTCTATACATTTTCATCTTAGTAAATTGCTTTCTCTTTTAATAAGGTAGCATTTTTTTTAAATCAAAATTATGGTCAAACTAATAAAGTGAGGTTTGTTTTGTAATAATTAAGTCTATTTTCGTTTTAGAAGTATTTGTAACAAATTTATGTTAAGCTTAGATAAATTCTTTTCAATTATAGTCAAGATAGAGTTGGTTGGTAGAATAATATATTATAATTTGTTCTGTTTGTCAGGAAGTCCAATATTCTATTTTTAAATATTTTACGAGCCTCTTGTTTTGCCAGATAAATTCCGAAAGGACAAGTGCCACACTGAAACTTTTCCCCACTTTGTCATAGTTTTTGCCCATATTATATATATATACACACACATACATACATAATCACAAAGTAATCAGGAATTTCTCCATACACACACACATATATATATATATATATATATATATATATATATACACACATATTAATGCCATCATATATTTATACATGCACCAAATACACACACTCACATATCTCAAAGCACTCATAAATTTATACATGTACACATGCACATATATATAATAAACATTTTAGACACAACAGTGCACATAAATGAACTGTCAAGAGATAAGAATAATGTAACACACACAAAATGCCATAGGCAAAGACCCTATCCCAGAAATATTTCTGTAGAAAATCAAAGATTCCATCATGGAATTTGTTTGGAAAAAGAAAAAATTCAATGTAATTGCAAGCCAACTATGCCAAATACTCAATTTTCAGCAAACACATATTAAGATATTAATCATTAAATATCATGTATATATACATGCCTTGATATTATTTTCATATATATATGATAAACAAATCCATATATCAGATTAAGGATTAAGAGTGGGTAATCAAATGACAAAAATGAAAGCTCTTCTGTATTATGTGCTTCCTCTCTTCAAATATTTACTTGGTGCCTGAAGAAGTTCTTTCAAGAGACGAAATGCATAACATGTTTCTTTTTTTTTCATTTTGCCATTCAGTTACCCATGTATATCACACACACAAATGCACACACTGTATTTATTCTGTGTATAATGCGATCATGTTACTGATGCCTCACCCCCACCTGTTTCAGTCAGGGGAAAAAAAAAGTTTGAATATATTTTTCACAAAAAATGTTTGTCTCAATTTCTGACAGGAGGTGTTGTTTCTATTAAACCACAATTCATTCAAACCAGTTTCACTGTCTTTATCAAAACATTTTGGTTACGACACTTGCTATCTTTCATTTCTGATACAAGATATTGCTACAAGGATACATTGAGTCTTTCAAATTTTCAGATAAAATTTTTATTTTTAACAAAATGTCTATGCAACTCTTTCCTTTCTGAGATTTTTGTCTTATCATCCAAATCTGTCAAATGAAATCCTTTCTTAACGTTGATTGATTTGATTTTTTAATCACTTATTAAGGTAGGTTATTTAAAGTCAGAAATAATTTTGAATTGTAAGAAATTATTTTTTTTGTTTTTGCAAATGAATGTTGCCTTAATTTTTTAAGAATAACAATTTTATCAGATACATGTTATACTATTTAATAACATATCTGGAGAGAGAAGATGGATTCATAATGTTCCCAAGCGTATTTGCATGTAAATGAATGTAATGGATGCAACTTGGATTCAAACTTGGCTCTCAGATTTTCTCATTCTGAGCTGCTATACATTATGCCAACTACATAAATATATCCATTTTTCCTTAGGCATTTACTCAATATGATATGAATTCATTTTGCTATTAAGGATCAAATAAAGGTTTCTAGCTAATATTCCCAGAAGGTTCCAGCATACAACAGAGATCTGTGAAAAGCCAGAGAGTAAAGCAGCAGAAATAGTGTGACAATGTCAAGGAGGGAAAAAAACCTGAATCAGTCAATATAACAGTCAACATTGTGTCGGGAATGAAAATCAGTGAGGCAACCATCCAAAACAAAAGGAAAAAAAAAACCCCCAAAAACACACACATGCTGCTTGGTTAATGGTTGTAAACTAGTGACCCGAGTGTTGTGATAAAAAACAAAAGATGAATTAAATACTAGTCAAAAATGAGTAATAATGACAATGCTTCATCTAAGAAATTTGAATACAACCGAAATGAGGAAATGGGCCTATTTTATAATTCTTACACCTCGCCTCAAAAAAAAAAAAAAAGGCCACCAAAGAGATTGTCTTTATCAAAATATTTGGGCAAAGCTGAGGAAACTGGTCCAAGTGAATCAATGTATAATAGTAACAGAACCTCACCCGAGAAATGAAATCCAGAGGGTAAATTGGCCAAATTTTAGGATAAAGACAAGGATGAGGAAACTGGTCTGAAAGTATCAATATATAATAGTAACAACACCTCATCTGAGAAATAAAGGCCAGAGAGTATACAGGCCAAATGTTTGGATAAAGACAACAAAGATGAGAAAACTGGTCTGAAAGAATGTATAATAATTTTATATATAATGCAACACCTTATTTCTGTAAAAAGGTAAAATGTTTACAGAAGTTTGTCCTTTGTGGGGAAAAAAAAAAAAATAAAAAAAATAAAAATAAAAAAAGCAAAATACCACCTTTCCCATGTTAAGAATTTCTTTTCTTTTTTTTTTCTATTGTTCATCTTTTGTGAAACGTTTTTATCCAAATGTTTCTACATGGTTCTTAGAATATGTCAAGTTGAGACTAGCCATTCAAAAGCAGTTGTATCCGCAGGTTGGCCGTTTATAAGAAAGGCTATGTTAGAGTAGGAACACTGTACAGAGCAGTACTTCACTGATACAAATAAACAAAATATTACTCGTGTATAATGCGATCCTCCAAGAATTTGGGCTTTTGATTCTGATACAAAATTTCCTGCATTATACACGAACAAATACAGTATATTCTCTGTATAATGATATTTATAAAATGACATGTATATCACAAATACACATTTTATATATATGGGTAGGTAGATATGACCGTCTCAAATTAAGGTTAAGTTTGTTAATTACTTACATACAATAGTTTTACACAACCTGGAAATATACATTCATGTATGGAGTATATACAACATTTGTATATGTAGATATGGATGGATGATCAGAAGAATAGCTGGGTGTTTATATCATCTGCTGCTGCTTCAGTGGAAGAGACAGGAATGAAAGTTCTTCAGTGATTATATCCAGACAGCAAATTCAGGGCACTGTACAAAACCTCCCCCGTACTAGTGTTTTTACATTTTTTCAAACCACTTTTTTGTGCCATGACCTTTTTGCAGATGTCGTAGGTGAATGTTCTCACATCTGACTGTGAGGCATCATGTCTCTTGGCATCGTCCTGTGGAGAGTCAAAGACTTCCTTCTTGCAGGTCGTGACAAAACCATCTGGATTGCAGTTGATAGTGGCATGATTCAGACGACTACAGAAGAGTTGTGGGGTGTGGTGGTGATTGTGGTGGCAACTGGGTAGGGGATTGCAGCCACAATTGCAACTGTTGTGAGACTGGGCACTGAGATGCTGCAATTGGGTGCAATTACAGTTGTTGTAGTGGCAACCGTTGCCTTGGTTACACTGCTGCTGCTGTTGCTGCTCGCCGTCAATTTCATCACATTCATCAAAAGATTTTGCCTCCACCTTTATGACAATAGAACTGTTTGGTTGACTATCACAACTAAAACACCCACCATCTGAACAATTACTAAAATCATGGCACAATCCTGTGCCACTGTCTTGACGTTCATCCTGCTGGTGACAGTGTGAACGATCTCCACCAACCCGAAACTTACAACCATGCTGGCTACAAACACTGTTACTACTAACACTACCAGTACTACTATTACTACTACCACAACCTGCACCATTAGTGATATCACTGTTATTATGAGTACGTTCGTGGTTATTTAAATGAGACCGCTGTACGAACGCCTTAGAACACATTGTACACTTGAACGGGGCCTCGCCCGTATGCGTCCTCTGGTGGTTCTTCAGGTGTCCTCGCTGTGTGAACGACTTTGAACACCTGGCGCACGTGAAAGGCTTCTCACCTGTGTGAATACGCTCATGGTTGTTCAAGTGATCACGCTGCGCGAACGCTTTTGAACAGAATCGACAGCGGTACGGCTTCTCCCCCGTGTGCGTGCGGGCGTGGTTCTGCAGGTGCACCTTCTGTGCAAAGTGCTTCGGACACACGGGACACAGAAACGGCTTCTCCCCGGTGTGTGTGCGCTCGTGGATGACGAGGTGTGCACGGTGGGAGAAGAGCTTGCCGCAGTGTGGGCATGCATGCTGTTTGCCGTTCCAATGCGCTCGCTCGTGGTTGCGCAGGTTCGCCCGCCGAGAGAACGCCTTGCGGCACAGATGGCACTTAAACGCCTTGGACTCGCCCCTCTCCACCTTGACATCAACCACGCCCGTCCCCGACCAGCCCAGACCCCCGACAGCTATGCCGTCACTCTTCTCCTCCTTGATAACCCCATCTCCAACCCAACAGTTTGTCCCTTCTTCATTACTATCTGGATGAAGTTTGTGCTTATTTTCATCGTTAGTGTTACTACTACAACCTATGTCATTGCAATTATTATTATTATTATTAAGGTTATTGCTTTCAGAAGTTTTTGGCTTCTCTTCCCAATTTTGATTGACTGGACTATTATTATTACTATTACTACTACTGCTACTAATACTACTAGTACTATTATTATTATTATTATTATTATTCATAGTATTAGTATTATTTCCAGCCCCAATAGTGTTTCTGTTACTAACAATATTCTGTAAACTGATTGTGTCATCATTAATGTCTTTCAGTTTATCATCTGACTGGAGATTTCCATGACATTGTACAACACCACTATTGTCAGGACGAGAATCTTGATTTGAGTTCCGACTGAGAAAACTCTCCATATTTTCCGGAGAAATTATAGATTTCAGTTCCAACTGTGGTTCTCGTGAAAAATTCTCAATGTTCCGGAAGTTGCCCGCTCTAGTTTGTAGCTGGTGGTAAAATTCGTTTTGAGGAAAGACAGGCTGGAGGCAAAGTGCCCCGTTACTGTCCACACCTAAATCAGTACCAGTGGCATAAGGGTTGCCCACTGGTGATGTGTAGAGTGAATGAATGGAGAACATGATGGTAGCTAGTCTGGCTGTTCTGGTCAATTGTTCTTTTAGTCTGACCACACAGAACAGATAGCAAAACTCACCATTAGTGTTTTCATTGGGAATTTCAATTTATCTGTAGAGATGTTTGGTGTATTGTGATTTTACAAGTAGTTATATCTGGCTGAATATTACAAGCAGAAGATGTGAATAACAAAGTTCGAGATAGCCATTGAAAAAGTCAGTGAGTGTGTTGGCAGCCACCCCAGTTTGTATTTGTGTGTGTGTATATATATATATATATATATATATATATATATATATATATCTCAATTTATATGTGAAATACTTTTAAATACAAGTAAGCAGTTTAAAAACCAGAAAAAATAATATATTTGCTAAGCTGAGCTTAGTTTGGCACAAGGCTACAAGTGTGGGGCACTTAGTAAGGATCGAAATCATTATATTGTAGTAATGGTCTAGCTAGAATTGCTTTTTACAGAGATATGCCCTATATTAGTGTTGGTAAAATAGGCACTGTATATAGATGTATATGAATGTAAATATACAAACTAATTAAAGCAATAAATATTCTGGTTTTGTGTATAAGTAATGTTACATGGGTGATAAATATATTGTAAATATAATAATTTTAGGGTCTTTTGATAATCAAAATTTTATCAGATATAAAAAAAAATCTTGTTAGTGATTACCTCCCTTGGTATTATCTTCGATACATAAAAAATAAAACGGACAGATCCTAATTTCTTTTGATAGTAATTGATAAAAGAACAACTGATGTTTTTATCTTAGGAAAATATTACAACGTAATAATTAACAATGGTACAAAAGACAAGGTTCAAATGATAGCCGATATCTAATACTAGCTGAGCAGCAGCATTTTGTTCAAATTATAAATGTGTCAAGCCTAAACAATTAGTTAAAACAGTCTTATTTCCTACAATAAATCATTAATAATCATGTATTTGTTTTGTATCAGTTAAAGTACAGTTGAAATTTTACCAAATGAATTAAAATAACTTACTTCTAAACATATAACAGATTTTATATGAGTATAAATATACTGAAGGTTAAGTGCCTATCACAAATTTTGAAATCTTAATTACAATACAATAGTATACTATAAAAGATTTTACAAGTATTGCAAATTTGACTAATTCTAAAATTGACTGACCATTACAAATGAAAGTAAACTTTAAAAATCTTTTCCAAAATCAAGGTTTGTATTTTTCTAAGAGATACAGCAGTCTGTAGCCCCATATACCAGCTTTGTAGGACAAAAACCTTAGAACTTATCACAAATACAATTTATATCAATAAAGCTATGTTTGCTATAAACTTTGTAAAGATAGTGATAATATGCAAGTCAATATTATGAAGAATATATGCAATATATTTAAATACAGATTGTCAATTCAAAATAGTGTATTAAACTAAGACAATTTTGATAATGTATACAAAATGTAAATATTTTAACCAAATATATTGGAAACTATTTTAATTCTACTGAAATTAATATATTCTAAATATGAAAATAAATAATATAGTGTAAAGCTCAGTATACAGTATATACTTACATGTGCATATATATATATATATATATATATATACGAGAGATAAGTAATCTTCAAAAGATATACATTAAAAATGTCTGACTTGTGATTTGTTTTACTAATTGTATATAATTTTACAGAGTGTTTTTTATAGATGTTGGTAGTGAAGATGTTTTTATTTTTAGATTATGCAAATTAAAAGATTTTCATATGAACTTTCTACTGACATATATCGTGAGAATCCAGACGAAGAGGGCTTTTTTGGTTACACTCATCTTGTTATAGGAACTCTTAGTGTCTGGTTGCTGAAACCCGCCCAGCATATGATATATGCATTTGCCTTGATTAAGTCCATCAGAGGACAAGACACATTGACTAAAATAAGTTTTCCTTTTGTCTTTATTCATATGCTTAGATATAAAAATTTCTGTAAAAGATTAAATGATAAAGCAATTGTTTTGTGCCTAAAGAATGGGAACATATAAATTTACTGTTTTGGTGTGTGTGTGTGTGTGTGTGTGTATTGGGGGGGGGGGGGCCTTGTGCAAAACTCTGCTAAGTTTAGCTACTATCCACCTTTTGATTATTTAATCTATTAAACATAATTTTGGCATCCAAGAAATGTTATTTATTCTTTCTTAAAACTATTAATTTCTTTTAAGAAATTTTTTTTTTTTTTTTTTTTTGAATAAAGATAATCTTGGGAGATTTTCCAAAAAAGATCAATATGGCACCGATTAGAAAACAAACTTTCTTTTTAAGATCACTTTGGATTTCGTAATGGAACTGGGTGGGGGACTATTTTTATTTAGTGGGTGATTTTCTTTTAGTCTAAAGCAAATGCTAGCAAAAAAGCTTAAAGATTTTCAAAAAAATATCTACAAAAAATTTAAGTTGAAAAATTATTTAACTTTGCCCCTGTTTTTTTTGACCCTTAGAGATGTTTTAGCTTATAAAAAAAAAAAAAAAAAAAAATGCTTGTCACCTGTGAATATGCATATATGTATGTAAGCAAAGAAATTGTAATCTATTATAATATGCGAATGGTTTGTGTTTTGAATGGATATATGATTAGGCTCTCAGTCAATTTTGGCAGTTGTATAAGCGTTAAGCTGCTTTAAATTAATTTCATAAAAGACGAGTTCATGTAGATATTAAGTTAGGAAGACAATTCTCCAGAAATCTCTATATTCTTCTGTAGTTGACATCAGCGGCAGTAATGCCATCTAAATGAATAGTTGAAGTGACGACACAAATGTCATCACACTTGATGATTTTTCTGTAATTGTCAGCAGAGAAGCAGAGACATTCATTTTATTCCAGGTTAAGAACACAAAGCTGAAATGATTACCTTCTGTAGCTACATTGTTTTTTTTTTTTCCATCTGATATTTTCTCTCCGCTTTCTGTTGATATTAACTGTTTATATAAGAAACAAGAAAATTAGCACATTTTTTGTGCTTTTTTTTTTTTTTTTTAAATAATCTGGTGTGTGATTATTTTATCAATGTAAATAATCAACTTTAAAACAGGTTTGTTTTTTTTCATTTGTACATATCTGTTCTTTGTAATGAGAGAGAACAAAAATAAGCAACTGTTTAAAATTCAAAAGCATCCATAGAAAATCTGTAGGAATATTTTCTAGTTTTAATTCTTTAGGTTAATTCCACAATCAGTAGTTTTTCTCCTCAAAAAGCAAATGTTACCTTCAGAAGGTGTGAAAATCAAATCATTAAAATGGATTTGTTGCTGTTTTTTCATGAACACTGGTGACAACTATCCCTTCATTTTTCACTTTTGTTTACTCTACAGTGTGGCAAAATAAACCACTCCAGTGTGTGTGCCAATCAAATCTGTGTGTAAAACTCTCTTACCAAACAGGGTTGATGAAAAACAAACATTTTTTTTTAAAAATTAGCCAAGAGTAATTTTTCTTGTTATTCAGACATTTTGTTTCCTGCAGATGGTTGAGGATTTATGCACGTGTTTTGTTTGTCTGTTTGTTTTTAAATTTGTTGCTAGCACATTTCTTTCTTCAAATATCCCAGCCTTGGTTTGCTATAAAAGGAAAAACAAAAGCAAAATGAATAAACAAAGAGAAAAACTCGAAGAAAAACAATAAATATTAGACCATCAATTATTTTGTAGATTTTCTCATTAATAAGCCCAATACCATTTTTAAATAAGGCTCTCATCAAATAACAGGTTTTGAATCAAAGTAAGAGAGACGAAGACAAAGTGAAAGAGAAGTAAAATAAAAAAAGGTTGTAGGGCTTTTAGTGTTGTTTTTTCTAACCTTTTATCAAATGGATATAAAACTTACCTTTCAAGAGTAATGTTAAAAAAAAAAAAGCATATAAATATTATATTCATTATTTATTTATTTATTGCCATACAAATCTTCAACTTTTGAAATATTTTGAAATTAGGATCACAAGTTAGTTCTTGGCAATTCTCTTCAGTAATCAATAAATAAATACAGAAGCTTTCATTAAATTTACTAAATTGAATTTTAAAATGCAAATGTATTTTGGAGCTGAACTTTTCTAGTGGATTTTCTATTTTAATTTTTTTTATATAAATGTAAAATAATTTCTAACAAAAAAAAAAAAAAAAAAAAAAAATTTCTTCCCCACATGACGGAAAAGAATCATTTTACCAGATTTTTTTTTTTATTCTTTTTAATGATATAAATTTTATGAAAATTGATTAAACCAATGTATGTCATTTTTTTTTTTTAAATCAAGCAGTGTCCAATTTTTTGACAATTCCTGGATCAACTGACAGTGATTAGTGACTTGTTTATACCATTATACAAAGTTTAACTTACTTTAATGACATACTGTGAACAATATTTTTCTTTCAATTAAAGAGATAATTATAGTAATTTATTGATTATTCTAATCTTATTTAAAGAATGAAAATATTCAAGAACGAGAATTTAATACAGTATAGAATACATTTAAAAATGCATTCAACTTAGAGATCAAAATGCCTTCTCATCTGACTTGAAAGTCAGATGAGAAGGCTTTAATGTAAATAGTTATATGCTGAAGGTCTTGCAGAATGAAATTGCTGGTTTAATATATCTCATAAGTGAATGATGGGACTAAAAGAGTTTGGTGGCCAGAAAAACACAAAAGGTTACTTCATATTCGTCAAGTTATTTTAATGCAGTAGGGTGCATTGTCCTGCTCTAAAAGGTGCCACTGCTATCATAACTGTTTGTACAAAGGCGTATACATGGTTTTCAATGGTGCTTAAGTAGGAGATATACAACAAAATACCTTCCCTATGAACAATAGGATCCAGAGGTTCACAGTAAAACATTTCCCAAGCCATCACATTGGCTTCTGGCCTTAGCACGGTGTGTCTTGGTACTATTACTTTCCAAAACAACAACAACAACAACATATATATATATATATATATATATATATATATATATATATATATATATATATATATATATACACACACACTATAAGCCACAAGAGAAAGCAAGATACACTGGACCTGGTAAACTTTTTCCATTAAAAGTGGGCACCCAACAAGTTTTGCTATTTTAGAAATATTTTGACCTCTTCTAGTCAAAAGAATATGGCATTTATTAAAGTCAATAAAATCTTGCTAATGACTTGCATTCAAAGCCTTAAAATGAACTGCTTGAATACAGTTTAGCAGCTTGTATAATGGGTTGGAAAAGTTTGGGGCATTTTTTTTTTTTAATATAGGTAGCCTTTGAATGTGACGGTTTCACACATGACAGAAATTTGACATATGTCTACATATTCTGAAAAGTTGATGTTTCAATGTCTTTCCATATGATTCACATGTGGATCATAAATTTTAAATTGTTTTACATTGCAAGTGAAAATGGAGGAAAATGAGATGCATTTTCGTTAACATTTGATCCTTCTTTCTTGAAAGGAAAAAATGTACAAACAGAAAAAAGATATGTGCCATTTATGGAGATGGTGCCATAGCTGAGATCAGAAGTGAAAATTTTACTCTGAAAGTCCAAGAAAGTTCTTCCAGGTACACAGTTATTGATGGTGACCAAATAGAAATACTAATTAAAAATAATCCAGATCATATGACATGGAACATTGCAGAGATACTTTGACATTTGAAAATCAATTGCATACATGAGACACTATGATGTTTGAGTACTTCATGATTTAACAGAAGCATTTAATGTACCACATTTCCATCTGCAATTCTCTGCTCAAATGCAACTAAAATGACACATTTTTTAATAGAACAATCACAGGTAATAAAAAATAGAGTATTTACAACAATGTGGGGCAAAAAGGTTGGCATCTAAAGAAGGTGATGCAAAGTATAGTTCCCAATTAGATAAAAGAACATTAGCAATCAATAAGGAGGATCCGGAATCAGTCAACTGGAAAGGTGCCGTTTTCCATCATGACAATGTCAGGCTTAACACCTCTTCGAAGATGAAAGAGAAATTAATACATTGATTTGGGGATTCATTTTCTATGGCTTATCAACCCTTTGTTGGTTATTTAAAGCCAGAAAATATTTCAGATTGTAAAAAAAAAAAAAGAAATAAAATTTTTTTTTTTTTTTGAGATAAAGATTTATTGTTAAAAGTGTTACTAATTAACCCATAGCTGAAGGGAAGAAGTGGTGGATTCATATCTTTCCCAAGGGTATTTACACATAATTGAATATAATAAACTCAATAGGAATTGGAACTTGGGTCTCTGATTAAGAATTCTGAGCATCTAAGCTAACAGCACTTATTCCCAAACAGTCACCCATCAAGGTACTGACCAGGCTTGATGTTGCTTAACTTCAGTGATTGCACAAGTAGCAGTGTTTTAATATGATGTGGACATAAACTTAGAAATTGGTACAGCTTGATGTCCTACTACACCTGCCATAGTTAACTGACCTTTGCACATTCAGGTTACTGTTTATTTCAATCCCTACAAAATTCTGGAAAGAACTTCAATTTTCTAGAACCTCCAAAAACAAAAAAAAATTCATCACCCACAAAAATGCCAAGCTCTGGGTGGATGTAATCATAAAGATGTCCCAAAGATGGCAAAAGGTAGTATCATGAAATAACACATGCATGGTTGAAAAAGACCTATGTACAAATATTTAAATATTGTCTTTGAAATTCGCTTAAAAATGCTACAAACTTTTGTTCCAACCCAATGCCTTTGACCCCTGAAATATGCAAGTGCTACAAGACAGTAACCAAATTTCTTGCTACACACACTTGTTCACAAAATTTGTGTCTGAAATATCTTTTAGGTCTATAGTAGAAGTTTTAAGTCAGAGAGCAGCTTGTGCCCGACTAAGTCCACCTTTTAAATGAAACGTTTGTGTCACAGCCCAGTAAGGTGGGACATTATCAGTAATGTCCTGTTGGTGTAGGTATCCCGTTGATGTTTGCTTCTAGGTAGATGCCCAAGTCGAGTGTAGAGGTTTACCAATTCATTATCATATTATTATTGTTGTTACTATATGTAAAATATTAATTCTAAATGAAGGATCCCTCAAATTATAATTTTTAAAAACAATGAACAACAAATACAGAAGACTGTATGAATTTATTATTGGAAATAACACTATTATCAAGATTTTTATTATTGGAAATCATACCATATGCAACAAAAAGCTTTTTTTTCCTCAGCTGGTTTTGTTGTTTTAAACTATTTTTATAATTTTAATAAAACCCAAACATATAAAACTAGATTTATGTATAGTCTTTTTTTTCTTTCTCCCTGACTTTGAGATATGACAACAAAAGAATGAAGCACTAATTTATTAGATTTATTTACAAGAATAATTTTATATTTATAAGTCTATAAAATATGTGGACCAACTATAATGCAATATTTATTATTTACCATTTTATAAAGAATTATGAAAACATATCTTTTTAGTGAATTCTAGAATAAAAAAAATTAAATAAGCATAATTTTCTGGACTTTATACATTTTCTTCCCAAATTATTTTGTATCTCAGATTACTTCCAATGTTTTTTCTTTTTATAATTGTAATCTAGGATCTAGAATGTCTAATCAATAGAAATACCTGGATAAAAATTAAACAGTCTGTAATTAGATACAAGGAAAACATTGTTCACCCAATAAACAGGAAGATACACACTCAAAATATTGAGTGATTTTGGTCTTGCCAAAAAGTCTAAAATTAAAAGAATGTTCAATTTAGAGCAAGAGATGCTCTCAAACCTATTTTAGTGAATTTATGTGGCAAATGCAAACAAAAAAAAAATGCAATTTTTCAAAATTTATAATTAAAAATAAATTTTCTTGTTCAGACATTTTTACATTTTTTCAAGGTTTCTAATATTAAATATAGTATGAAATTTTTCATATTAATTTCTTCATAAAATGTGAAATAAATCTTTATAAAATGGTAAATAATAAATATTTTATTATAGTTGGTTCAAATATTTTTATAATTTTCTAAAGTTTTATAAATCCATGAATAAAAAATTTGTTTTCACCTTTTTTACCATTTTATAAAGAAATAATTAGGAAAATTTTTATTCATAATTTTTTTTTAAATTCTGTAAACAAGACAAGAAAATTTAAATGAACATAACGAGGAATTAGAATTATAAATTTTGAAGAAAAAAAAAAAAAAGATAGTATTTTTTCATTCATTTGCTTTTGCCACATAAATTCACTAAAATCAGTTGCAAACATCTGGATTTATCCATTTTTTTTCTTGAGAACTGACAACAGAAATTTTAAACACTATTTATTAGATTGCTCATTTACAGAAATAGTAAATATTATTTTTGTTGTCAATTCTAGAGAGAAAAGAGAATGTATGAACCCAGTATCATGTTTGGATTTTATTAAAATTCTAAAAATAACTTTTTAAAATAAGCAAAAAAAATCACCAAGGGAATATACAGCAATAGATAGGTCAAGAAAAAAGCCATTCTTTTGACACACCATGTCTTTTGCAGGTACATATGTTAAAACTTTACCATAAATGATTAATAAGAGTAAGATCAGAAATGGCAACCAAGAGACTAATTTATG